TCAAGAAGGAAAACTTGAAAGAAGAATAGAGGCAGAAGAAAACGTAAACCAAAGGCAAGAAGGATTAACAAGAGGTAAGGACAGATCACGCAGTTAATTACAGAATGATATATGTTATATGAATAAATCTTGATAGGAAAATATTAGTATGATATAGTTAATTACAGGATGATACATGCATATAAATGATCTACAGACAGGGGATCCGCATAGTAGAAATCCCAAGTTGGTGAAGTAGTACAGCTTTTGATAGTCATACTAGCTAAAGCTTGATTCAGAAAGGAAACTATCATCAAAGATGCAGATTAAGTCAGGTGTGCATAAATCTGTTTTACAGGGAAGATCAGTAATACCAACTTGACTTGGTAGCTAACTGAATTAGGAGGATCTGTCTTGTGAAACATCTAAGAAGATAGATACAGAAAAACTGGTAAAGAGCTACAGTAGGAATTGGGGTTGTACAAATATTGACAAGGGTTTAATCCAAGTAAATTAGTGAAATGGGCACATGACCACACTAGTAGGAATCACTTCCAAGGTTAAATGGAGCTCTGCGTGCTTACAATACATTAGGTAATATGCATCCTGAGAGATCTAAATCATGTAGTAAATAGATCCTCGAGTAAGTCAGCTGGCTTAAGCAGTCAGATATAGGGGTGATGTTAGTTTGAATAGGGTGAAGGGTTAATGATCAGAGTGTTTAAATAGGTAACTCACAAGTGGGTTGCAGATATAGCAGCATAGTATAGAACCAACAGATAGTTGATTGTCTGTATAGCGGACTACTTAAATTAGATAATGACTAAAGTTGTATATGTGGCTTGTTATATACTCATTATATAACTGTAAAACCTTAGAAGATTACTATTATGGTAACTCTGTAATAGCAAATTAATAAAATTCAATCGGCCAAGGAAGCAGCCTTAACTAACAAAAAAAAAAAAAAAACAAATTATTATATAATAAATAGAGACAATGACAAGAACAATCAATGCGTACTTTGGATAAGTTAAAAGATATGCACATAGAGCTTTTAACACCTGCTATTAGAATTTTTTTTGAATTTTGGTATATATATAATATGTGCGCAAAAAATTCAAAAGGAAATTAGAATTCTTTTTATACCCTTCTACACTAATGAACAATTTAATAGGAATTTTAGCAACAATCATATGAGTGCCACTAAAAGAAAATATACATATTTATATATATATTATATTTAAGTATGCATATTTTCCCTTGGCAGTATTCATACAATTAAAATATAACACAACACCTCAGGTCTTTATAACTGAAAGTTGTGAGTTACTATATCTTAATTCCTCTTAATTAAGAAAGTTTAAATAAAGACAGTTCTATTATCTATTGTTAGGTAAGCTTGGAGATAGACTGATATGTATTCAAGTATATATATTTTTTCCTATTAACCCTTAAATATAGATGCGAATTAGCTTATTATGAATTTGTTTATGAGTCATACATATTTTTCTTGAGTTTCTAATAATTGTAAAAGCTTATAAATAAATATAGCTTTAGAAGTTCATTCTTCAAATTGAAAGTTTTATCTATTACTTTTTGTTTAAAAAAAAACTTGCTTGTCTTTGTTAGTATAAAATTCATTAAAATATTATAAAAATAGCATGATGATATGCAGGTGGTTCTGAAAAACATAGATTCACTAAAGATATTATTATGCTTGGTGCGAAGCTAACAAATAAACACAATACATACGGTATATGCAAAGCTTGTGATGATGCTCTTGGCTGTAATAAAGCTCTAAAATCATCATTGACTAATAAAAAAAATACAGTTCATAATTACTTAAAAAAATGCTCATATTTCTGTGTTAAACTAGGATTTCAAGAGGCAGTAGATACATATTGTAACAGAACTGATAATAAAGAAGAAACTACTTCTAAAATTGCAAAAAGGTATCAAAACATAAATATGTCTGGTAAAACCTTATTTTTTAAAAAAATTAAAATCATTATTAATAAATTGATAAAAAAATTTTTTTTTAAATAATAAGATAATGAAGATACAAGTGATATAACCAGTAGCACTACAACTTCTACTGCATCTAACCACAATAGCAAACAAAAATCATCATCAACTTTTGTAATGAACTTTATTGTTCAGGGCATTACTATAAAAGAGAAACCAAAATTTGAAAGGTTGTTACTTCAGATAACAATTTCAAATGGATGGTCTTTTTGATGAACAACAGATTCAGCTACTTTAGAATTCTTTGAATTTTTAAACCCAAAACTTACTCTTCCTAGTCAGCATGCTTTATCTAATCGTATTCTTAATGCTGAAAAGTCTACTTTGACCTAGTCCTATGAACAAAAACTAAAAAATGATAAGAATGGAGTTGCTTTAGCATTTGATGGATGGAAGAATATTTTAAAACAATATATATTCAGTTCCTTATTTATCTTATCAACTGGAGAAACCTTAATTTGGAAAGCAACCGATATAAGCTCAGAGAGAGAATGTATAATTGAAATTATTCCTAAAATTAAATCTATAATTAATGAAGCATCAGATCTAGGTGCCAAATTATCTGCTATCGTTTCTAATAGTATCCCAGTATATTCCAGTGCTAGATAAAATTTTATAAAAAAAAGAAATAAATAAATAAATAAAATAAATAAAATAAAAAAAAATCTTTGTTTAAAGGTTCTAAATTGATTTAATAATAAGCTATTAGTTATTAACAAAAATATTAATATTTTAAATAGATATTAGTACAAACTATAAGACAAAAAATAACAATTATTCACTCTTTCCGTCGATCACTCCGACCAAATTTAGAGCCAAAGGAAAAAATAAGAAAACTCAAAATTTCTACTAAGAACGAATACAAAAGCTACTAATTAAAAGAGAAGAGCAGAGA